ATTTTCATTTATTCTTTTGATTCACTTGGTCTGTCATATGCTTTGTAATGAACTTTGTAATAACTACTGGGCTATAGTGAAAAGGGATGGGATAGAATGCGTGCCAAAGGGGTAGATACCATGCCTATAGGGTGTATATTTTCTCAATCCTTCATTTTCACGTAGATACCATGCCTATAGGGTGTATATTTTCTCAATTCTGCATTTTCACGTAGATACCATGCCTATAGGGTGTATATTCTCTCAATTCTGCATTTTCACATAGAAAACATGTCTATAGGATTAATACTTTAAAATGCTGCATTCTTCACATAGATACCATGCTCATAGGTTTTCTGCACTTCGCAATATATACCATGTCAATAAATCACTGCTAAAATTCTGCACATCACGTAGATAATATGCCTATAAGATTTTTCCTGCATTTTTGCACGTGCATCTGTCATTAGGCAATTCCACTTATAGGGCCTAAAATAAACCAATCATATCAATGACCTGCTTAGAAGATCTCTGCATAACAAGATTCGTAACACCTAGAAAGCATGCCTATAGGAGTAATCGATTAAAATCTGAAATTGCCCACTCATCTTTAAAATCAGTAGTAATTCGTTTAAAGTGCTCGCAGAACTTACGATACTATAACTTAAACATTTTTTGCAATCAGTTGGTTCCTCCCCCGTCTTTGAAAATAGATATCATGCATATAGACCCTGTTTAACGCAGATAGATAGTTAGATAATTAATCAATCGTCAGTTTTTCTACAACTACATCTAAGCAGGACTAATTCGGACTCTCTATCTGGAAAATATGTGGTAGATCATCTTCCTACGCTATTTTTAGTCAAGGACCTAAACAGTATGGGTAAGACGTGCTAAACAATTCGTTTCTCTAAATGAGGAGGCCTACTTGAGCCTTTAATTGCTTTATCTCCCAATTAAGTGTATTATGTGTTTTTGATTGTCGCCTTAGAATTTTATCCTTTTAAACCTCTGAAAAGCCAAGCTTTCTCCCTTTAGGATTAGTAGTCCTAAAAGCCTCTAGGACTGATAGGTGGGACGGGTAATAGCATGCTGTAGGTAGCGATACCATTTCGCGATTAATACCTTAACGGGGTGGGAAGAGTAGACATGGAGATGATGATCACACGATAACACTATGCGTACGATTGGTTACCGGTGTTGTGTGGATGATCCATGTGATTTATAAACCTAGGACCCCTTTCCTTATGTTACTTTGTTTAGTATCAATAAATTCTGTCTTTTCAATTACCCAAAACTCCCCTTTAATTTTTTCACTGCATTATTCCTTTTCCTATTAACTTTTTCTTCTTTGTTTATTCAATGTCTTGACTAATTCTTGCACTTAGACTCTCCCTCAAACAAATTATAGATTCCAACATGCTTGTTTGCAACCCTTATGTGTAAATTTATTTGTATACTTGTTTACATTAAAGTCACAACATAGCATGGCCGGGAACCACACTAGTGGATCTTGAGGGGTGCCTAACACCTTCCCCTCGAGATAATTTTTCTAGCCCTTACCCGAACTCTGGTTTTCCAATTCAAAACCCTTTGTGTCCTAATGCACTTAATCATTAGGTGGCGACTCTTCAATTCCAAAAACCCAATTCCCAAACGGGAATAGAGTTGTCTTCCCAAATGTCGTAAACCTGATTTCGCTTTAGAAAAAGGGGGCGTTGACAACCGGCTCATGACTCGCGAGACCTATGTAACCTAGGCTCTGTTACCAACTTTTCACGACCCCAAATACCCCCGGTCGTGATGGCACCTATCACAATACTAGGCAAGCCAACCAAACATTTACCACAACGAAATCTTTTATAAAAATCTTTTTCTAGTATCGAATAAGTCTCAAATTCGTTATATGAAATAGATGAATAAATTAGAATAAGCGGAAAACCAGTATAAAATACCAACACAGCCCAACAAATCCAATGTGACTAGTCAAGAGCCTCTAAATACAACTCAAACTGACTGAATAATACATCATAAGTCTGAAATAACAGAATACTAAGATAGGAAGGAGGAAAGCAGGGCTATTAACCCCGTGCAGCTACCTTGCAGTCTCCAGTAAAGCTCTGAGAGTGCTGCAAGCTCTAACTCTGATGCTCTGGCACCTGGATATGCACACAAGGTGCAGGGAGTAACGTGAGTACGCCAACTCAGTAAGTAACTAAAGTAAATAAAGTCCGAGTGCAGTGACGAGCATTTAAAATCACATAAGAAGTCTCAACAGAAATATCAAGTCAAATTCTGCAATTTAATAGCCAGTTACCTCATAAAACTCCAGTTTGAGTTAAAAATCCTTTGAAAACATTTATTCAACATTTTTGTCAAAAGAGGCTCAGTATAAAAGAAGAGTGAAAACATCATAATGTCACAGACAAGCCTCTCGGGCAAGGTACCACTCATAAGTATAGCCTCTCGGGCATGCCTCTCAGTCACTCGTGACTCAGCTCTCGTCAATCAGTACTCACATTCAGCACTCCGGCTCAATAGATATCTCATAAATAATAATAATAATAATAGTAATCGCTGCGGCGTGCTGCTCGATCCATAATTTATAGTCGACTACGCTCATTGGGGGTGTGCAGACTCCGAAGGGGCTCCTAAAGCCCATGCTTCATATCGCTGCGGCGCGCAGCCCAATCCAATATATATATCGGTGCGGCGTGCAGCCCGATCTATATGTATATCACTGCGGCGTGCAGTCTGATCCATATATATAATATTGATGAGGCGTGCACCCGATCCATAATAGATATATAATATCACCATTAGGTCCTAAACCTCTCTCAGTCATTAGCCTCACGGCCACTCGGGCATATCAGTAAAAACCAGGGAACTCAGCCCAAACAGTTTTCATATATTAAGAAATAGAGTGATGAAACTGGTTTTAAACCAATAACAGGTAAAACATGACTGAGGATACGCTTCCAAATCAAACAGAGTGAGGAAAGTGGTAAAATACCCCTAAGGATCTAAATAGGTCGGCACAAGGCCCCAAACATGGCGTACAACCCCCAATATAGTATCAATCTCTAAAATACAGAATATCATAAGATTTCAAATCAAATAAGCGGCTTAATAATCGCTACGGGACGGACCAAGTCACAATCCCTACAGGTGCACGCCCACACGCTCGTCACCTAGCATGTGCGTCACCTCGTTTATCAAAACAATACAACATACTGGGTTTTTATACCCTCAGGTCTAGATTTATAATGGTTACTTATCTCAAACCGGATGGAATTCTACTCCGCAACGCCCTTGCCTCTCGACTCGGCCTCAACTCACGTCGAATCTACCCTGTGAGCACGTGATTTTTGCCCTGTGTGAATTACTCCCATAAATTCAAGAAAATAATTTTTTTCCATTATTTGCAATTTCGTGGATTTTTGTAGCATTTTTTGTTATTATTTGCATTTATCTGTGCAAGTTTATTTTATTTAATTCATGAAAAAATACAAAAAAAATACATTGCATTTGCATTTGGGATTTAATTTTATATTTTTAGGATAATTAGCAATTTAGTTGTCTTATAAAATGATTAAAACCACACAAAAAAACTCATTTTGCATGTTAACTTTTTAATTTTAAATTTTGTAGTTCTTCTTTTAAATTAGGAGTTAATTAATTTTTGGTAGATACTAGATGATTGATTAGCCTAATTTGGTAAATTATTTTTATTTAGGAGCTAATTTGGGTTGTTAGTTAATTTTAAAAGGTAAACAAAAGAGGGGTAAAAGGAAATTGAGAATTCGTCTTAAAATCTTGGAATTGGGCCAGTATTAGTTGAAAATCTGCCCAAAAACACTCCCCAATCCAGGCCCAAATGAATGCTAGGCCCAATTTCGACCCTTACCCGGTTCATTTATTTCGGGCATTGACACAACCAAAACGACGTAGTATTGAGTCAATACTACGTCGTTTTGAGTTCAAGGAGCTTTATCAGATCCTGACCTTTCATCTCATTTCATCCAACGGCCCAAAATACTTCTCTATTTTAGCTTAAAACTGTCCGAATATTTTCAGAGAACCTCGATCCCTTCACCTCATCTCCTCAATCCCTCTCATCTCTAACCCTAGACCCGCCGCCCCTGAAACCTCCACTACATCCGTCGGCGGCGGCTCCTCAAACCGCCACCAAACAGCCTCAAATCCCTCCCCACAACCCCTAAACCCCACTGAACATGAAGACAACACGAAATTCCCCAGAATCCCCACCTTCCCTCTTAAATTCCAAATCCGAGAATTAAAAAAAAATCTAAGTCATCCCTAACGCCGATTTTCATGTCTCCGAGGCCCGAATTGACTCAAGACTTACGTTAGTTGATTGTTCTCGCTCCGAACAATGGATTAATGGTAGTTTTGGCTCACTCCGGTAATTACCAGTCATTGACCAGACCATGCCGGCCAAGTTTGTCGCCTTCGTCGATTTATTCCGGTTAAAACCAATACCATTCCTTCTTCTTTTCTTATGCCCGTCTTTTTTATTCTTGTTCGTTTGGTGTGAATTAGTTTTAGTTTGCTTAAAATCAACATTTCTAACTGTTTGAATGCATGATTAGGATTAATTGCTTCATCATGATTTTTTTTATTTGATTTTTATTTTGGCTGGGTTAGTCGTTAATTTCGAACTAGTGCTCAGCTTATTAAGGGTTGTCAGAATTATTTTCCTTTAGTGTAGTCTGGGTCAGAGTTTGAATTTCAAATGCCCGATTATTTGATTTAAGTTTTGGCTGTGGGCTTTGT